TATATACAGTATATATATCTGATGCAGCAATTCATATTTGTTATTTGGACACAACAAAAAGTTACCTTAGAGAAGTCAAACTTCTTGAGTCAAATTTCTGTAACGTATGAACAGGAAGCAAAAGGCAGATTCCAAAATAACTGCCATATTTACTGCTTAATCCTGTTAGATGTTTTTAAATGGTTCATGTATTTTATATATTGATTCAAGAAGAACATTATGTGATGAATGAATTTGTCTCATTAGAAATGAGTGAGATGAAGATTCACAACACTTTCAAGTCTTCACACATTGCAATAGTACACAGTGTTGGGGAGTAAGTAGTTACATGTAACGGAATTGTGTAATTTCATTACAAAATAAATGTAATTGTAATCAGTTACAGTTACTGAGTAAAAAAGTGTAATTAAATTACAGTTACTTATGAACAGTGTTGGGGAAAGTTACTTTTAAAAGTAATGCATTACAATATTGCGTTACTCCCTAAAAAAGCAACTAATTACGTTAGTTACTTTTTATGGAAAGTAATGCGTTATGTTACTTTTGAGTTACTTTTTAAATCTGGGCAGGGCTTGCTTGTTTGTTTTTAATATAAAAAAAAGTTATATTTTTGGCAAATATAAAAGCCTTTTCACACCAAAAGTGAAATGAATAAGCCTCAGGCTGAAGGGAAAGTAAATTCTATGGAAAGTAATGCGTTCATTTTTAAATCCGGGCAGGGCTTGCTTGTTTGTTTTTAATATAAAAAAGTTCTTCTTTTACAAATGTAAAAGCCCTTTTCACAACAGAAGTGAATTGAATACGCCTGAGGCTGAAGGAAATGCAAATTCACGTCTGTACAGCAGAGGGCGCAGCTCAAACTAATTACATGAAGAATATGATGTAGGAGAAGAAAGTTCAACACTATTCAGCAATAACAAAAATGAAACACAAATGTGTCATTTTTGCTTATTAGTATGGTTGAATTAGATCATCGAAAGTCAGTAGCAAAGACATTGGTTAATAAAATGGGATTAAATACATAAATGATATTTGTCTTATTTAACATATTTAATTATTGCAGGTTTATATAATATTCTGAGTTTGCATTTGACTGTTTTCATTCATTTTGAGGAATACTGAATCTATTTTTGTGCAGTGAGAAGAGTAAATAATGTTCATATTTAGTCTATAGTACTACATCAGATACATCACAGCACACACAACGCCTCTGCACTTACTCCCGATTTCTCTCAACATGGCAACACGAGAGCTGTCAGTCAAGACATGGGAAACAAAGTAACTAGCGTTACTTATTTGAAAAAGTAACTCAGATATTTCCTTCTAAATTAAAAAGTAATGCGTTACTTTACTAGTTACTTGAAAAAGTAATCTGATTACGTAACTTGCGTTACTTGTAATGCGTTACCCCCAACACTGCTTACGATTACAAAGGGGCTTACATCTGAATTTTCACACACACACACACACACACACACACACACACACACACACACTTTATTATTTTATTTGGATCCAAAAAAACGGAATCCAAATACCTTGGGAAGTCATTTTGCAAGATGGCAGGAATACATGGCTCATATACAGGATGCTCCCTATAATGGCTGAAACTGAACAGAATTTCGCAAGTGTTTTTGCTTTCTTTTTTTTGCAATCCCCCAACTGCAACTCTCTAATCACATTCTTATGCACATGGCCTAGACTTCCAAATACTAGGGTAATTAACTTACAATGAGAGTCAAGTTGATGGATAGCTTCAACCAATGGCTGATATTTCAGCAGTTTGGAAAGATAGCAGGTATCCAGATACAGATCAAAACAACAGCCAACCTCAATAACAAATACAGAGTTCAAAGCCTCATTTACAATTACAATGTCAGGAATGTTTGGAATGTTTTTGAAATAGTCACTGTCAGATTTGTTATGATAGAACCAGTTCAATTCAACAGTAGTATGCTGATAAATCTCGCTGTCTCTATGTATTTCTTTCTAGTCCTTTACAATCAGATCAACCAGGCGATCGTGTCTGGCCACATACAGTCCTTTGTAATATGGGGGTAGAATTGTTGCATTATTCCAAATAAATAGATTATGATCCACAAATAAATGTAAAGTGATTTACAAAAAAATAAATATATTGACAAAAAACAAATAAATCTCAGAGTTTCATAAACATTAATTAAATTCACAAATAAATAAAATGAGATTTGCAAATAAAAAACATTCACAAATACATTTTTGTCACAAACACAACTTTGCCTGCCATTGGCGATCGTGTCTGGCCACATACAGTCCTTTGTAATATGGGGGTAGAATTGTTGCATTATTCCAAATAAATATGATTATGATCCACAAATAAATGTAAAGTGATTTACAAAAAAATAAATATATTGACAAAAAACAAGTAAATCTCAGAGTTTCATAAACATTAATTAAATTCACACATTTGTGGATTTTGAGACATTTCTAGCATCAAGACACCGACAATCCACAAATGCGTGACTCCACCCACCGTCTACTCGAGCCAATCAGATAACAGCCACACTTCGCTGACCAATCGTAGCACGTTTTCGCTATAACCCATCACGTTTTGCTTTACAATCAGGGCGGTCTCTTCCTGAAATAACTTCATTCATAATATGCATTGGCTCAAATAGGAAATATAAGGGCCATAAAAATTAATACAGTAAAAGATGTTTAAAATTGGATTTCGTTAGATCATTAGACTGTGTATCAAGCCAAGCCACAGTATATTTTACATGCTTTTGAAAATCACGGCTGTACAATGCTATATACTGGATACAAACGCGTTATGGAAGCGCCATTCAAGATGGAAAGAAAAGCATCAATAAGCAACTAACTAATAAATTACTTGATTCAACCTCATGATAAACATGCGAGTTTGTGTAACAGGTTAAATTGCCGTCACACAACAGCCAACATAACAGCGTTTTCCAGTTTTTCAGTGAAGCAGTTTGGATGGGATGGATATGGATATGGATATGAGCAGCTATGTGGATCTTATGATGTATATAGCATTATAAATAATATTTTCAAACATTAATTACACATATTACAAAGTTATTGCCATATTTGGGGAGGGAAAAATATAGGTGGGTTCTTTTTTAAATGTGGTGCAGGTGTGTTGAAAATAAATGTTGAAAATAAATGGATATAAGAGGTATTTATTGGTTAAAACACTTGATCACGCAAAAGAAATATTTCATATGAATCAGACTTACTAGTTTTGTTTGTTAAATTTACTTAACAGCATCCAAAGTACATTGTCCACTTGCAAAACTCCAGTACTACACGTTGCAGTGATGCTGAGACAGGTACCCAGATGGTCATTTTGGCCCATAATTGATATTATACGTGTTATTATGCTCTATATTTGTTACCGCGATTGTGATTTAAAAGGCTAAATAAGCCATGCCATGTCTTACGCAGTGTCTTTGCTCGCTGTCGCGCTCCGCTGCAACAACTGTAACTGCAATTGGACGCATCAAAGCAAATGTGCAAATCATTGTCCTTCATCGTGTCGCGCCTCGTCCAGAGTAGACAGAATTGCAGTAGATTTCTATTTGCTTTGGACGCATCGCGAGGGTAGTACTGATGATGTTCGGGATCTGTGAATGATCATAAATTGTGTATAATTCTGAGTTTATCCTCATTCACTGATCCTGATGGAAACATAAAGAAGTCTTACACTCCTACAATCTTTTGGAAACAGGTTTTTTTAGCCACGCAAACAGCACTCAATCTGAACGAAGTGTCCATAGAATGCAGTTCCTTACAGGGGTGCAATTAAATAAATCTGCTCCCGCCCTGATTGTAAAGCAAAACGTGATTGGTTATAGCGAGAACGTGCTATGATTGGTCAGCGAAGTGTGGCTGTTATCTGATTGGCCTGAGCAGACGGTGGGTGGAGTCACGCATTTGTGGATTGTCAGCGTCGTGATGCTAGAAATGTTTCAAAATCCACAAATGCACGCAGCGATCCACAAACACACAGGACGTGATTCACAAATAAATGCCAGGCAAAGTTGTGTTTGTAGAATAAAAGGATATTTGTGAATATGTTTTTATTTACAAATCTTTTTTGTAAAAAACTCTAAGATTTGTTTGTGGATCTCATTCTATTTATTTTGTCAATTTGTTTGGTTTTTGTTAATCGCTTTACATTTATTTGTGGATCATAATCTATTTATTTGGAATAATGCAACAATTCTACCCCCATATTGTAACAACAGCATCCATTTAA